GTGTAAAAATTTAGTTTTTCATCCGAATGCACCAAATCGATAAATTTTATAATAATTGTATAAAAATGGTAAATGGCTCTATTTTTGCAAAATTATTACAAGATATTAGTAGGGGTTTGATAAAATACTGTACAAATGCCACCTGGTTTTACCTGTAATAGAGTTTGCTACAGATGATTATGGATATGTTGTAATGAAATGCTCATACTGTAAAAACACTTTTTTAACCCTCAAACCGATAGGGTTAAATCTAAATGGATTTAACACCCACAGGCGCAACAACAAAAAAATAATTCCAAAAAATTATTTCGTCTTATAGAAGTGTTCATTTTTGTTCCCTGACCACGGAAGAAATAAGAAAAAAATCGTAGGTGGCATATTTTAGCTGCAATAGGGTAGGGAAGTGTGGCAAAAAAGGGGCGTTGACAAAGCCTTTGCCAGGCGAGGTCTATTCCGCTCAAGCTGTCAGGTGGCAGTTGCCACAAATATATTATTACCTAATTATTTCAATGTCTCTGATTTTTTCTTAGTTTTTTTGCAGTAATATTATTCAATAGAGTGAATTGTGATATATTTATATAATAAAATGTGTGAACCATTGCTGTACTCAAAATTATGGTGTACATATTAGTGATTCAATTATTATGTTCATAAAACAATAAACAAATAGTCTTGCTGTTATTACACTATATACACAGGTTATATATAAGTATCTGCATGTTTTGCTCACTATAACGAACCACTGAGTAGGTATTGCGAGTCAAAATGCAATGAGGAGTGACCGCCACACACCAGCCAGCCACTCGCTGCCACTCCCTCCCTCAACAACACCTCACTCGCCCTCATTCTCCTCCCACAATACTATTTTTGCATTTATTCACTATACACAGACGTTATATATACATATTTACATGTTTTGTTCACCATAACTGTACATCTAAGCTTGTATGGTGAGCAAAGGCACAAAGACGTAGCTACTCACACAGTCAGCTGGTGGCGGCCGCCATCAAGGCCAGACGCACTAATATTTCTCCTCCAACAATATTGTTTGTGGTGTTATTACGCTATATACACACATTATATATAAGTAGCTACCTGTTTTATTCACCATACCTGTACAAATAAGCTGGTATGGTGCCCAAAGACCATAGTGGCCACCAGTAAACAACATGACAAGTCGTGCAGACGATGCACCTACATCACCAAAATGGCGGCTCCCAACCTACTCCTCTTGCTGTTATTACACTCAATGCACACATTATATATAAGTATCTACATTTGTGTTCACCATAGCGAACCACTAAGCTGGTATGGTGAGTGCAGTCAATAAAAGACAACCACACACAGTCTGAAGACGACACCACCACCCTCCCTTCCCACTGCATTACTCCTCCCTCCATGGAGCACAGTGCTAAATATCACCACCATCCTGCTATTATCAGAATCCTGGTCAGTTTTATCACAGTCAGGGGTCTTCTGTAATACTATCATCGCTAAATAATAGCAGTATCATATATATTATGGCATTTTTAGGCGATGCTGTGGTCACAAGCTGAACAGCGGTGCTGTGAGCTCGTGCTGCGTGCGCCAGCCTTGGTGGCTTGCTCAGTACTGAAGCTCTTACACCCAAGAATGTTGGCCTGGATTTTTTTCCTAGGTGGCATCTGTCAACTATCTGTCGTCGCTGCACTATAGCTGCCCCTATCCCAGGCGGGGTGTTAAAATTATAGCGCTAGACACGAAATCATATATAAATGATTTGCGCGGTTTCGGTTTTGTCACTGAAATCATATATATATATATATAATTTGTGAGGTTTAAGGGTTAATGAGTATTTTGTAATGAGTAGCTCAGGAAAATCAGTTGATTAGAGATAATGCTGGATAATACACTTAAATGTGTGTATATAATGTTACCACAAGTATATTACCATAATGGTATATATGAGATAAGATGCAGTTGTGTCAGTGACAACTGATAAAATTAAGTACTGTCTGTGTTTTTAACACACAACACTTACTAGTATACTATGAATGCTTACTAGGTAATGGATATGGTGGTCTGGCCACTGTAAACAATTTGTTCACTTAGATATATTAATATTATAGATATTGGCTGTTAGCTAGGTAGGCTAGATTATGTAAAAATTATTCAATGCAAAATCAAGAAGTTTCTTATGTATTTTGCTATTGAAATATTCGGTAATCGAAGGACCATAAATGGCCCAAGTGCACTGGTATAATATGGATGATCTAGTTTCTAGACTATCTAGGTTAAAAGAACCATAAATGTGGGAAAATTATTAGGATTAATATATAAGGAAAACTACTAGGGTCTTACTGTACTAAATTAAAAAAATTACTGAATGCAAAATTAATTCAACTTAAAGTCCCTAGCTAGAGTCGTAAAGCCTAGCTCCTCTTTTCCTAATGACAGGCTGTAAGGAACAGGTGGGTGTCCCTAAGGGTGAATGGAGAAGTTGATTGAAGATCCACAATCCACCTGCAGACAATTTTACACATCAGCTTGTATTGTTAATACAAGGAAAAGATTTAATAATTCAGTTCTATAACTGAACACTGTTTCTGTTTAAATCATGGATCTAAACATGTACACAGTCCAGCCTAGCTTCATAACTATAACAGCCAATATTCATATACTATTAAACACAACAATTCGTATTATAGAGGTATGTTATATATGAATATGCATTCAAATGAACTTAAATGTGGTCCAAGTAGTGGTAACTAAGTACTAAAGATTATATTCAATATGATAAACTTATGTGATAAATTAAAGATAACTAAGTAAGCAATTGTTAACTTAATGTATATTATATATACAGATATATATTCAATTTATTTGAAGAGATTCAGTTGAGCTTGACTTTTCTGAGACAATGACACTTATGAGGGTGTGTACTTGACGAATGTCTAGATGAATTGAAAAGCTACGGTCACTGCAAGAATAAAAACTTACTGAAATATGAGGCATTGCCTTACCCAGTAACGACAAACAGATTTATTGGATATATTAACGTTATACAAGCATGCAATTGGCCAATTAACACACCAAAATAACTCAATATACTTGTTTGAGTGCCGGGTGCCTGTCTGACGAGTTGCCAGACTGGTTAACTCTTGTCGAGTTCAGGCACAATATTTTAAGTCACAGCTTCGCTGTATATTGTTCTGGTAGCGTTGCTCATGGATTATGTCCTTAATTGCGTTTGCAGTAGGCTAAGATAGGTGATGGTGGAGGTGGAAGTAACATCACTTGGTGAGTGAGCTCCACTTTACACTCTTATTTAGATAAATTACTAGGATTTTTTCCTTGTAGATATTGTCCAGGTACTCCCCCAGTCCTAGAGAGTAATCACTAGTGATAAAGCTATGTTAATAGGGTGTCCTTTACAGAATAATTTTTGCAAGGCACCATTACACTTGTTTACTGTTTTGTAAGCAAACAAGTTATGGCCAGGGATGCCCTGTAAGGTTGCTTCATTCCCGATTTGCTTCCTCCCTTCTTTTTGGGAAGGTAGCCTTCAATGAATATTGATTGATTATTTTTACTGTCTAGACATATGATTGAGATAAGATGTGATTATAATATAATTATATATAATATTTAAAGATTGTAAGTAGTACTTGCTAGTACTCTTGATTCCTATTAAGGATTTGATTTAATCCTTACCAGAAATTGATTGATTGTTCCAATAGTTTTTAATTAAGATATTCTTCTCGAAGCTTCTAGATTCTTGAGAAATCATGCACAAAATCACGTAGGCACCTATAGGGCCCTATGGTGTATGTGATCATACTGACATTGTCATGTATGATCCAGATGTAGGATATAATGAATCTGTAGTGATTCTAGTATGATTTTGTTTTGATTTAGATATGATATAGAAATAATACATTTCTTAGATAATAATATAAATATAATGGGTAATATTTCACACAATATACACACACACACAGGCCTCGTAGCCTGGTGGATAGCGCGCAGGATTCGTAATTCTGTGGCGCGGGTTCGATTCCCGCACGAGGCAGAAACAAATGGGCAAAGTTTCTTTCACCCTGAATGCCCCTGTTACCTAGCAGTAAATAGGTACGTGGGAGTTAGTCAGCTGTCACGGGCTGCTTCCTGGGGTGTGTGTGTGTGGTGTGGAAAAAAAAAAAAAAAAAAAAAGTAGTTAGTAAACAGTTGATTGACAGTTGAGAGGCGGGCCGAAAGAGCAAAGCTCAACCCCCGTAAAAACACAACTAGTAAACACACACACACACACACATATATATATATATATATAATATATATATAATTTTATATATATATATATATATATATATATATATATATATATATATATATATATATATATATATATATATATATATGAACAAGCCTGAATGGTCCCCAGGCATACACGCAACTGAAAACTCACACCCCAGAAGTGACTCGAACTCATACTGCCAGGAGCACTATGCATCTGGTGTACAGGGCACCTAATCCACTCGACCATCACGACCGGTCAAAAGCTGATGGTAGCCGAGGCTATTAGCCCATCAGCCCGCTAGCACTCTGATGGTAATCTTGGGCATAGTATTTTATCAAATCACCTCATTCTTTGGGGCACACGTGAGGAACACAAATGCGAACAAACCTGAATGGTCCCCAGGCATACATGCAACTGAAAACTCACACCCCAGAAGTGACTCTAACCCATACTGCCAGGAGCACTATGCAACTGGTGTACAGGGCACCTTATCCACTCGACCATCACGACCGGACAAAAGCTGATGGTAGCTGAGGCTATTTCCCTATCAGCCCACCGGCACTCTGATGGTAATCAGTTGCATGTATGCCTTGGGTCCATTCAGGCTTGTTCGTATTTGTGTTCTTCACGTGTGTACCAAAATGCACCTGTGCACCATCATTGATTGCATTAGAAGGCTTAAACGAGTAAAATAACACTAAATTTGGAATAGGATATTGGGAAATTATTGACAAACTTTAATATTTCCAATCTTGTGAATACTATTTACATAAAGACTTAATAATAAAAGGATACATAGTAGAATACACTATTATAAGTGGTAATATCACTATGGGTGGTGATACTCAACGGGTTGTAATATCACTATGGGTGGTGATACTCAACGGGTTGTAATATCACTATGGGTGGTGATACTCAACGGGTTGTAATATCACTATGGGTGGTGATACTCAACGGGTTGTAATGTCACTATGGGTGGTGATACTTAACGGGTTGTAATATCACTATGGGTGGTGACGGGCTGACACAAACACAAAATCTTCATGAATGCAGCCCTGGAGGTTAGAGGGTAGATCAGAGAAAGGAGGAAAGATACAGTCACTGATGGAATATGCATTATGTAAGCTCCGCCTCTGTAAGCAATATGTTGAATTTAAACAACTGCTTACACTGAGTGAAGTAAAATAACAATATGAACTCTAGTGGTCCGAATTGCGGTTACCTCAGCTGCTCGGAACTTTGCCATGAAAGTTTAATAGGTTAACTTTTCTTCAGGCGAATCGGACACAGGGCGTTTGAAACAGATCGTGAGCCGTGGATCTAGAGAGGATGTTAAAAGCCGTCTGTATTTGTGGAACTAATGGCACCGCTTCATTCAACATGACCGTTTCTTGCTTTTCAACTTCCAAATAAGGCTTCACCTGCTTAGGAAAAGAGTATGTGGTAGATGTTGATAGTCTATTAGGTGGTACTTGTTGGGCAGCTATATGAATTTCGCAGTAGCTTCATACATATCATCAGTTTGATCTACTTGTTTTGGGAAGATAAGAGACGGCTTGTACCACAAATGTTGCATATCGAGCAGTTGCATTCCATGCTGCCAAGAACACTGCACTAGTCTGCCTTACGGCATCTGTTTCTTCTACTTGACTTGAAGGTGTCATAGCGTCACCAAATTTCACCAAAATGGCATGTAAATTATAACTTAGTTGCTTCTTAGGCGGCTGCATTTCACCCAGCCATGAACACAGTAATAGCTCAACACTACTGAGGTTGTCTATAAAGACTGACGCAGCGAAGGTGAAGCTTCACCATAAGACACAATAACTGGTGCATGGTGATATTAACACGGTGAAGAAGTTGCAGCATGGTGGGCAGCATTTATGGCCTAGAGATATGAATGCTGTGAACTGGTTCCCATAATAATGTTTACATCAGGGGCTGCTGCAGCAGCTGCAGCGGCAGCATTCCACACCTTCATGAATTCTGCTGTGGCATGTGCAACTTCAGGAGTGAACTGAGGAACTCCATCAACAATTGTTGGAACAGCAGAATATGGAGTAGTTCCAGTAATCTGGTAGAGGTTGGTCTGAATGGTAGGCACTCGTGCAGCGGCATTTCTCCAAGCTTCCATGAATTGTTCAGTGGCTCTCTTGACTTCGTCAGTAGCCTCTACCTGTTGTGGGACACTGGAGGAAGCAGTGGCAGCAACTGCATGTCTAATAGCAGAAGCTTGTTGAGCAGCAGCTTCCCAGGAAGCGATAAATTCAGTAGTTGTTTTCTTGACATCTTCAGCTTGTTGTACTGGCTGTGGCAAAGAGTAAACTGCTTGTTTGACAACAGTTGCACGTTGAGCGGCTTTGTTCCAAGCTGCCATAAATTGATCGGTTGCCCGCTTTACTTCTTCAGTTGCTTCAACCTGCTTTGGAATTTCAATTGAATAGGTGCCAGAGGGCGCAGATTTTACCAGACTTGTTTGAATTTGAGTTGCTCTTGCAGCTGCTTCATTCCATGCTGCCATGAAAACAGCAGTAGCTCTCTGCACTTCTGGGGTAGGTTGGACAGGCTGAGGCAGTGCAGATGGAGAAGCTACATCGTAGGATACAGAGGCTGGTGCATGGTAATGGGAAGATTGTGAATAAGTTGCAGCATGGTGAGATGCCTTGAGAGATGGACGCAGTGAACTGGCTCCCATAATGATGTTTACATCAGGGGCTGCTGCAGCAGCTGCAGCGGCAGCATTCCACACCTTCATGAATTCTGCTGTGGCATGTGCAACTTCAGGAGTGAACTGAGGAACTCCATCAACAATTGTTGGAACAGCAGAATATGGAGTAGTTCCAGTAATCTGGTAGAGGTTGGTCTGAATGGTAGGCACTCGTGCAGCGGCATTTCTCCAAGCTTCCATGAATTGTTCAGTGGCTCTCTTGACTTCGTCAGTAGCCTCTACCTGTTGTGGGACACTGGAGGAAGCAGTGGCAGCAACTGCATGTCTAATAGCAGAAGCTTGTTGAGCAGCAGCTTCCCAGGAAGCGATAAATTCAGTAGTTGTTTTCTTGACATCTTCAGCTTGTTGTACTGGCTGTGGCAAAGAGTAAACTGCTTGTTTGACAACAGTTGCACGTTGAGCGGCTTTGTTCCAAGCTGCCATAAATTGATCGGTTGCCCGCTTTACTTCTTCAGTTGCTTCAACCTGCTTTGGAATTTCAATTGAATAGGTGCCAGAGGGCGCAGATTTTACCAGACTTGTTTGAATTTGAGTTGCTCTTGCAGCTGCTTCATTCCATGCTGCCATGAAAACAGCAGTAGCTCTCTGCACTTCTGGGGTAGGTTGGACAGGCTGAGGCAGTGCAGATGGAGAAGCTACATCGTAGGATACAGAGGCTGGTGCATGGTAATGGGAAGATTGTGAATAAGTTGCAGCATGGTGAGATGCCTTGAGAGATGGACGCAGTGAACTGGCTCCCATAATGATGTTTACATCAGGGGCTGCTGCAGCAGCTGCAGCGGCAGCATTCCACACCTTCATGAATTCTGCTGTGGCATGTGCAACTTCAGGAGTGAACTGAGGAACTCCATCAACAATTGTTGGAACAGCAGAATATGGAGTAGTTCCAGTAATCTGGTAGAGGTTGGTCTGAATGGTAGGCACTCGTGCAGCGGCATTTCTCCAAGCTTCCATGAATTGTTCAGTGGCTCTCTTGACTTCGTCAGTAGCCTCTACCTGTTGTGGGACACTGGAGGAAGCAGTGGCAGCAACTGCATGTCTAATAGCAGAAGCTTGTTGAGCAGCAGCTTCCCAGGAAGCGATAAATTCAGTAGTTGTTTTCTTGACATCTTCAGCTTGTTGTACTGGCTGTGGCAAAGAGTAAACTGCTTGTTTGACGACAGTTGCACGTTGAGCGGCTTTGTTCCAAGCTGCCATAAATTGATCGGTTGCCCGCTTTACTTCTTCAGTTGCTTCAACCTGCTTTGGAATTTCAATTGAATAGGTGCCAGAGGGCGCAGATTTTACCAGACTTGTTTGAATTTGAGTTGCTCTTGCAGCTGCTTCATTCCATGCTGCCATGAAAACAGCAGTAGCTCTCTGCACTTCTGGGGTAGGTTGGACAGGCTGAGGCAGTGCAGATGGAGAAGCTACATCGTAGGATACAGAGGCTGGTGCATGGTAATGGGAAGATTGTGAATAAGTTGCAGCATGGTGAGATGCCTTGAGAGATGGACGCAGTGAACTGGCTCCCATAATGATGTTTACATCAGGGGCTGCTGCAGCAGCTGCAGCGGCAGCATTCCACACCTTCATGAATTCTGCTGTGGCATGTGCAACTTCAGGAGTGAACTGAGGAACTCCATCAACAATTGTTGGAACAGCAGAATATGGAGTAGTTCCAGTAATCTGGTAGAGGTTGGTCTGAATGGTAGGCACTCGTGCAGCGGCATTTCTCCAAGCTTCCATGAATTGTTCAGTGGCTCTCTTGACTTCGTCAGTAGCCTCTACCTGTTGTGGGACACTGGAGGAAGAAGTGGCAGCAACTGCATGTCTAATAGCAGAAGCTTGTTGAGCAGCAGCTTCCCAGGAAGCGATAAATTCAGTAGTTGTTTTCTTGACATCTTCAGCTTGTTGTACTGGCTGTGGCAAAGAGTAAACTGCTTGTTTGACAACAGTTGCACGTTGAGCGGCTTTGTTCCAAGCTGCCATAAATTGATCGGTTGCCCGCTTTACTTCTTCAGTTGCTTCAACCTGCTTTGGAATTTCAATTGAATAGGTGCCAGAGGGCGCAGATTTTACCAGACTTGTTTGAATTTGAGTTGCTCTTGCAGCTGCTTCATTCCATGCTGCCATGAAAACAGCAGTAGCTCTCTGCACTTCTGGGGTAGGTTGGACAGGCTGAGGCAGTGCAGATGGAGAAGCTACATCGTAGGATACAGAGGCTGGTGCATGGTAATGGGAAGATTGTGAATAAGTTGCAGCATGGTGAGATGCCTTGAGAGATGGACGCAGTGAACTGGCTCCCATAATGATGTTTACATCAGGGGCTGCTGCAGCAGCTGCAGCGGCAGCATTCCACACCTTCATGAATTCTGCTGTGGCATGTGCAACTTCAGGAGTGAACTGAGGAACTCCATCAACAATTGTTGGAACAGCAGAATATGGAGTAGTTCCAGTAATCTGGTAGAGGTTGGTCTGAATGGTAGGCACTCGTGCAGCGGCATTTCTCCAAGCTTCCATGAATTGTTCAGTGGCTCTCTTGACTTCGTCAGTAGCCTCTACCTGTTGTGGGACACTGGAGGAAGAAGTGGCAGCAACTGCATGTCTAATAGCAGAAGCTTGTTGAGCAGCAGCTTCCCAGGAAGCGATAAATTCAGTAGTTGTTTTCTTGACATCTTCAGCTTGTTGTACTGGCTGTGGCAAAGAGTAAACTGCTTGTTTGACAACAGTTGCACGTTGAGCGGCTTTGTTCCAAGCTGCCATAAATTGATCGGTTGCCCGCTTTACTTCTTCAGTTGCTTCAACCTGCTTTGGAATTTCAATTGAATAGGTGCCAGAGGGCGCAGATTTTACCAGACTTGTTTGAATTTGAGTTGCTCTTGCAGCTGCTTCATTCCATGCTGCCATGAAAACAGCAGTAGCTCTCTGCACTTCTGGGGTAGGTTGGACAGGCTGAGGCAGTGCAGATGGAGAAGCTACATCGTAGGATACAGAGGCTGGTGCATGGTAATGGGAAGATTGTGAATAAGTTGCAGCATGGTGAGATGCCTTGAGAGATGGACGCAGTGAACTGGCTCCCATAATGATGTTTACATCAGGGGCTGCTGCAGCAGCTGCAGCGGCAGCATTCCACACCTTCATGAATTCTGCTGTGGCATGTGCAACTTCAGGAGTGAACTGAGGAACTCCATCAACAATTGTTGGAACAGCAGAATATGGAGTAGTTCCAGTAATCTGGTAGAGGTTGGTCTGAATGGTAGGCACTCGTGCAGCGGCATTTCTCCAAGCTTCCATGAATTGTTCAGTGGCTCTCTTGACTTCGTCAGTAGCCTCTACCTGTTGTGGGACACTGGAGGAAGCAGTGGCAGCAACTGCATGTCTAATAGCAGAAGCTTGTTGAGCAGCAGCTTCCCAGGAAGCGATAAATTCAGTAGTTGTTTTCTTGACATCTTCAGCTTGTTGTACTGGCTGTGGCAAAGAGTAAACTGCTTGTTTGACGACAGTTGCACGTTGAGCGGCTTTGTTCCAAGCTGCCATAAATTGATCGGTTGCCCGCTTTACTTCTTCAGTTGCTTCAACCTGCTTTGGAATTTCAATTGAATAGGTGCCAGAGGGCGCAGATTTTACCAGACTTGTTTGAATTTGAGTTGCTCTTGCAGCTGCTTCATTCCATGCTGCCATGAAAACAGCAGTAGCTCTCTGCACTTCTGGGGTAGGTTGGACAGGCTGAGGCAGTGCAGATGGAGAAGCTACATCGTAGGATACAGAGGCTGGTGCATGGTAATGGGAAGATTGTGAATAAGTTGCAGCATGGTGAGATGCCTTGAGAGATGGACGCAGTGAACTGGCTCCCATAATGATGTTTACATCAGGGGCTGCTGCAGCAGCTGCAGCGGCAGCATTCCACACCTTCATGAATTCTGCTGTGGCATGTGCAACTTCAGGAGTGAACTGAGGAACTCCATCAACAATTGTTGGAACAGCAGAATATGGAGTAGTTCCAGTAATCTGGTAGAGGTTGGTCTGAATGGTAGGCACTCGTGCAGCGGCATTTCTCCAAGCTTCCATGAATTGTTCAGTGGCTCTCTTGACTTCGTCAGTAGCCTCTACCTGTTGTGGGACACTGGAGGAAGCAGTGGCAGCAACTGCATGTCTAATAGCAGAAGCTTGTTGAGCAGCAGCTTCCCAGGAAGCGATAAATTCAGTAGTTGTTTTCTTGACATCTTCAGCTTGTTGTACTGGCTGTGGCAAAGAGTAAACTGCTTGTTTGACAACAGTTGCACGTTGAGCGGCTTTGTTCCAAGCTGCCATAAATTGATCGGTTGCCCGCTTTACTTCTTCAGTTGCTTCAACCTGCTTTGGAATTTCAATTGAATAGGTGCCAGAGGGCGCAGATTTTACCAGACTTGTTTGAATTTGAGTTGCTCTTGCAGCTGCTTCATTCCATGCTGCCATGAAAACAGCAGTAGCTCTCTGCACTTCTGGGGTAGGTTGGACAGGCTGAGGCAGTGCAGATGGAGAAGCTACATCGTAGGATACAGAGGCTGGTGCATGGTAATGGGAAGATTGTGAATAAGTTGCAGCATGGTGAGATGCCTTGAGAGATGGACGCAGTGAACTGGCTCCCATAATGATGTTTACATCAGGGGCTGCTGCAGCAGCTGCAGCGGCAGCATTCCACACCTTCATGAATTCTGCTGTGGCATGTGCAACTTCAGGAGTGAACTGAGGAACTCCATCAACAATTGTTGGAACAGCAGAATATGGAGTAGTTCCAGTAATCTGGTAGAGGTTGGTCTGAATGGTAGGCACTCGTGCAGCGGCATTTCTCCAAGCTTCCATGAATTGTTCAGTGGCTCTCTTGACTTCGTCAGTAGCCTCTACCTGTTGTGGGACACTGGAGGAAGCAGTGGCAGCAACTGCATGTCTAATAGCAGAAGCTTGTTGAGCAGCAGCTTCCCAGGAAGCGATAAATTCAGTAGTTGTTTTCTTGACATCTTCAGCTTGTTGTACTGGCTGTGGCAAAGAGTAAACTGCTTGTTTGACAACAGTTGCACGTCGTGCGGCTTTGTTCCAAGCTGCCATAAATTGAGCGGTTGCCCGCTTTACCTCTTCAGTTGCTTCTACCTGCTTCGGAATTTCAATTGTATAGGTCCCAGAAGGCGCAGATTTTACCAGAGTTGTTTGAATTTGAGTTGCTCTTGCAGCTGCTTCATTCCATGCTGCCATGAAAGCAGCAGTAGCTCTCTGCACTTCTGGGGTAGGCTGGACAGGCTGAGGCAGTGCAGATGGAGAAGCTGCATCGTAGAATACAGAGGCTGGTGCATGGCGATATGAAGGTTTTGAATAAGTTACTGTGTGTTGGGCGGCCTTGAGTGTTGGACGCCATGAACTGTCTCCCATTATGATGTTTACATCAGGGGCTGCTGCAGCAGCTGCAGCGGCAGCATTCCATACCTTCATGAATTCTGCTGTGGCATGTGCAACTTCAGGAGTGAACTGAGGAACTCCATCAACAATTGTTGGAACAGCAGAATATGGAGTAGTTCCAGTAATCTGGTAGAGGTTGGTCTGAATGGTAGGCACTCGTGCAGCGGCATTTCTCCAAGCTTCCATGAATTGTTCAGTGGCTCTCTTGACTTCGTCTGTAGCCTCTACCTGTTGTGGGACACCGGAGGAAGCAGTGGCAGCAACTGCATGTCTAATAGCTGAAGCTTGTTGAGCAGCAGCTTCCCAGGAAGCCATAAATTCAGCAGTTGTTTTCTTGACATCTTCAGTTTGTTGTACAGGCTGTGGCAAAGAGTAAACTGCTTGTTGGACAACAGTTGCACGTCGAGCAGCCTTGTTCCAAGCTGCCATAAATTGAGCGGTTGCCCTCTTTACTTCTTCAGTTGCTTCTACCTGCTTCGGAATTTGAATTGTATAGGTGCCAGAGGGCGCAGATTTTACCAGAGTTGTTTGAATTTGAGTTGCTCTTGCAGCTGCTTCATTCCATGCTGCCATGAAAGCAGCAGTAGCTCTCTGCACTTCTGGGGTAGGCTGGACAGGCTGAGGCAGTGCATGAGAAACAGAAGAACCATATGCTACATTATAAGTGATATGTGCAGGGTGAGTACCTATTGGATATGTTGCCTGGTATTGGTTCACTGGATAAGCTTCAACTCTATGAATGACAGGTGAGGAAACATGATGTCCTCTTTGTAGTGGCCCAGTGGGTTCCGCTCCACCGTATGTAAAGACTTCATGTTTACAGTCATGCGGAAGAGGCGATCCCACAGCTGCCACCAGTAACACTGCAAGCACCTGCAAGTTTAAAAATATAAATACGCTTACAATATAATCTCAAAATTATCGATGTTTGTTATTTTTATTTTTACATGTTCCTGTTCATCGTGCTTATTAGAAAAAGGCTGTAACACTGATATAACGCTTACATACACACATACACACACACCCACACAAACACACACACAGACCTCAGATTGGGGTGAAGTCACCAGTGGAGTCCCACAGGCCTCTATACTCGGTCCTATCCTGTTTCTGATATACGTAAATGATCTCCTGGAGGGTATAAACTCACTTCTCTCAATGTTTGCTGACGAAGTCAAAATTATGAGAAGGATTAAGACAGAGGAGGACTGCTTGAGGCTTCAAGAAAACCTAGACAGACTGAAGGAATGGTCGAACAAATGATTGTTAGAGTTTAACCCAAGCAAATGTAATGTAATGAAGATAGGTGTATGGAGCAGGAAGCCAGATAAAAGGTATCATCTGGAAGATGAAATTCTTCAAGAGTCAGAGAGTGAAAAAGACTTGGGGGTTGATATCACGCCAGACTTGTTCCCTGCAGCCCATATCAAGAGGATAACATCAACGGTATATGCCAGGCTGGCCAACATAAGAACGGCATTTAGAAACTTGTGTAAGGAATCATTCAAAACTTTGTATACCACATATGTCAGGCCGATCCTGGATTATGCAGCCCCAGCATGGAGACCATATCTAGTTAAGGATAAGACTAAACTGGAAAAGATTCAAAGGTTTGCCACCAGGCTAGTACCCGAGCTGAGAGGTGTAAGCTAGAAGGAGAGACTACGGGAATTAAACCTCACGTCGCTGGAAGACAGAAGAGTTAGGGGGACATGATCACCACATTCAAGATTCTCAAAGGAATTGACAGGGTAGATAAAGACAGGCTATTTAACACAAGAGGCACACGCACTAGTGGATACAGGTGGAAATTGAGTGCCCAAATGAGCCACAGAGATATTAGAAAAAAACTTTTTTAGTGTCAGAGTGGTTGACAAATGGAATGCATTAGGAAGTGATGTGGTGAAGGCTGACTCCATACACAGTTTCAAATGTAGATATGATAGAGCCCAATAGGCTCAGGAACTTGTACACCTGTTGATTGACGGTTGAGAGGCGGGACCAAAGAGCCAGAGCTCAACCCCCGCAAGCACAATTAGGTGAGTACACACACACACACACACACACAATCCTGTAAGACCAATCCTGGAGTATGCGGCCCCAGCATGGAGCCCGTACCTTGTCAAGCACAAGACGAAGCTGGAAAAAGTCCAAAGGTATGCCACTAGACTAGTCCCAGATCTTAGAGGCATGACTTACGAGGAAAGGCTGCGGGAAATATACCTTACGATACTGGAAGACAGAAGAGTAAGTGGAGACATGATCACAACCTACAAAATCCTCAGGGGAATCGATCGGGTAAACAAGGATAAACTATTCAACACTGGTGGGACGCGAACAAGGGGACACAAGTGGAAATGAGTACCCACATGAGCCACAGGGACGTTAGAAGGAACTTTTTCAGTGTCAGAGTAGTTAACGGATGGAATGCATTAGGCAGTGATGTGGTGGAGGCTGACTCCATACACAGTTTTAAATGTAGATATGATAGAACAAATCCACAAGGGCGTGACGAGGATTCGAACCTGCGTCCGGGAGCATCCCAGACACTGTCTTAATCGACTGAGCTACGACAGGGTAAAAGGGTTGAAACCGAAGTTCTACTGAACTTACTGGATTTGTTCATTTGATGCATCACTTTAGTGTGATCTCTGTGTGTGTAGATATGATAAGAGGCCAGTTGGCTCAAGAATCTGTGCATCAGTTGATTGGCTGTTGAGAGGCGGCACCAAAGAGCCAGAGTTCAACCCCCGCAAGAACAACTAGGTGAGTGCACATTCAACTGTCAAAAGCAAATGTGTTTTTTAACATGGCATTGCAATAAACTCTTTTATGCCACATAAATGGCAAAACTAGCGGCGGGTCTCCAACACTGTCATACCATCGTTATAGTTTTACAATGTTGGAAAGGTCACACACACGCATTCATATCTAATAATATATATATATTTGGTGGCTGTGGATAAATTATTTAATTAATAATGACAAAAATTAGATTCTGCATAAAGAACTAAGGTTGCTGTGATAAATTACTGGAATTAGGCGAGTGTTAGGCAAGTATTAGGAATTAGACAAATTCTACGCAGCTTACGAGAATAACATTGTAATGACAAGCTAATATATATATATATATATATATATATATATATATATATATATATATATATATATATATATATATATATATATATATATATATATATATATATATATGCGAACAAGCCTGAATGGTCCCCAGGACAATATGCAACTTCTGGGGTGTGAGTTTTCAGTTATATATATATATATATATATATATATATATATATATATATATATATATATATATATATATATATATATATATATATATATATATATATATATATATATATATATACGAGAGAAATATCTAATAGGTGAGTAGTAAATGACGGGAACCTGAAAACAAGGTAAAAGAATCAGTTTGGAAAATGTAATATTGTTATACAGAATATATCAGGACAGAATCAATGTTACCTACCTAGAAATATTTGAAAAGAAGAATGGAACAATAGGGTATGAGGTTGTGTGTAAGAGTTAGTCACATAATCATGTAGGGGATTGATGATCAATTCTCACTAAGAAATGATCAGTAAAAATTATCGTTCTTCTCTATTATTAGCAAAAGAATCTAGTCGGCGATAGAACAGAATAGTGTGAACCATTTAAACTCTCTCCTGAACATTTTACTCAGATATATATTTTTTCATACTAGCTGTACCCGGCCACGTGTTGCTGTGGCTCAGCAACCTTTCCCTGTCTCCCAGTCCTCCCCACCATTCCCCCCTCCCTCCTCGTCTCGTCCTCCCAAACATTCCCCACTCCCCCGGCTCTCGTCTTCCCCCACCATCCCCCACTCCAGCGTCCTCTCGTCCTTTTAACCATTCCCCACCTGCCCCGTCCCCTCGTCCTCCCCACCATTCCCCCCTTCCCCGTCCGTTCGTCCTCCCAACCATCCCCCACTCTACCATTCCCCACTCCACCGTCCCCACATCCTCACCATCTCCCACTTGCTCGTCCCCTCGTCCTCTCTTCCATTCCCCCCTCCCCCGTCCCCTCGTTCTCCCCACCATTACCCCCTACCTTGTCCTGTCGTCCTCTCCACCATCCCCTACTCCCTTTCCCTCGTCCTCCCCACCATTCCCCACTCCCTCGTCCGATGTATTCCCAAATGATCTGATATTACCCATCAGAAAATTAGGAACATTAAATGATCTGATGTTCCCATCACTAAAATATAAGAAAAACAGTTAAAAAAACAAAGGAAAAAAAATAAACTATGCTCACAAAATGAATGGTATGGTAAACAACACAGCTCAATTCCAACGCAATGTCACATAAAATAATTAAATCCAAAAGAAAATAATCGAATTCTTTGAAAAATCCATTTATCATAGCAATCGGAAACATTGAAATGGAATTGTAACATATTTAGTATAACATGTGTTGTTATTATGTGCAACAGGTGGCGCTATTTTTCAAAATAGCATGTTTTTACCTGTCACAGACGTGGCATCTATATAGTAGGTATATAATAACACGTGGGTATTCGAATGTTTCAAAGCAATTGGGGAAGAAGTATTAAAGATTACAGCGTGTGTTGCTCTTACGTCCAACAGATGGCGCTGTTTTTAAAAAATCATGTTTTTTTTCCTGTCACAGGTGAGGCATGTATATAGTAGGTATTTAAAAACACGCGCCTATTCGAATGCAACGTAGTGTCAAAAATTTCAAAGCAATCAGTAAAGAGGTTTCAAAGATTTCTCTCACATGAAGAATACATGAAAAACACAGTTTTTCAAAAAAGCATGTTTTTTCCCTTCACAGACATGACATCTATATAGTATGTATATATAAACCCGCTCGGATGCAAATGGAACGTTGTGTCAGAGTTTCAAAGCAATCGGTGATGAACTTTCGGAGATTAGCGATTTTGAACAAACTAATATTTACATTTTTATTTATATAGATATAGTCTTCAGAACATATGCATGTTTGTAATGGTAATGTCTTCTCGCAGATATAATAACATAGGATAAGAACCCACACTTGTGTATGTGTGAAAATTATGTAAGGACTTTACACCAAGTTTTTCGCACTCTCCTGAGTGCTTTGTCAAGGTCTGAGTGATTAGGACGAGACTTACATCTCAACCCTATACAAGTTAGACGTTGATTAGACGTTGAGATGTAAGTCTCGTCCTGACCACACAGTCAGACCTTGACAAAACACTCAGGAGAGTGCGAAAAACTGCTAAGTTTTTCGCACTCTCGTACGTGCGTTGGGAGCCCACAGAATGAATATACGGTAAAAAGTCTGTTGCCTCGGCCCTGAGTATTTCGTTTCCACCTACTTAATGAAAGGGCATGGGGGACCGACTCCATCTCCTCTGTGACCGTTTCCCCTATATACGCCAGTCTTTCCGCCAAGTCTGGTGAGTTTGGTCAAACTTCAAGCTTCTGGCCCTCAACCTAAGATAAACAAACTGACAGAAATCCTCTTTTATAGCTACAGATTTCCTTTTGTCAGGGACAGGAAGTATTATAGGATTAACGAAGTACCCACTGGCCCAAGGACAACGGCAGACCTTCCTCAGAAGGAAACCCAAAATAATTGTCAGTCCTAGGTACCTATATTACTGCTCGGTGAAGAGAGGGCTCGGTTGAAAGGATGGTGCCCATATGTCTCTGTCCTGTCACGAGAATCCGGAAATTTTCGACTGTGAATCTGACTGCGAATCTTATCTATGAATCTTATCTAATCAAAAACATGAAGTTGTAAAAAATTCAGAGGTATGCCACAAGACTAGTTCTAGAACTAAAAGGTATGAATTACGAGGAAAGGCTATAAATAGTAAACTTCACGTCGCTGAATTTTCAGGGAAACTGATAGGGCAGACAAAAACATTAATTTTAAGGAATGGGTGGAACTTGAACAAGGGAACACAGGTGGAAACGTAAGTACCCAAATGATGCAGATACTTTTTTCAGTAATAGAATTATGAACAAATGTAATGCACTAAAAAGTGAGGTAGTAGATGCAGACTCTATTCACAGTTTTAAATGTAAACACGATGGAGCTCTGTAGGCTCTGGAACCTGTACACAAGTTGATTGAATGTTATGAAGCTGGACCAAAGAGCCGAAGTTCAACCCTAGGAAGCGCAATTTATTATGTATATAACTACTTAAAAAAAACAAATTACTCGCATGTAAAAGTATATGTAATTTGATTCCACTTCAGTGAAAGAGTGCAGATGTGTTTCCCATGTATACGGAAGTGCACCACACACATACAAACGTCACGTGTGTGTAGTGCTTGTAAACACGATTACTGAGAATGAGGGTGAACACTAAACACAAGTACCAAGGCAACGATATAAAGTGTCCATATAGTATGTCGCCACCCTGCGGTCTTGCGAACGAGTTTAATGTTCATATCTTCCAGATTTGGTGCTGTTCACCTGTTTCAGACACGATAATGTCTATTTGTTCCAAACACGGTACTGTTCAATTTGTTTTCTAATCACGGTACTGTTAAATCTGTTCTCTAATGACGGTTCTGTTCATCTGTTCCAGACACGGCACTGTTCATCTGTTCCACATACGATACTGTTTAATCTGTTCCAAACACGGTATCGTTAAATTTGTTCCAAAAAACACGGTATTATTCATCTGTTACAAACATGGTACTGTTTAATCTGTTCCAAACACGGTACTGTTTAATCTGTTCCAGACATAGCACTGTTTAACGGTACTTTTCATCTGTTCCACACACGATACTGTTTAATCTGTTCCAAACACGGTATCGTTAAATTTGTTCCAAAAAACACGGTATTATTCATCTGTTACAAACATGGTACTGTTTAATCTGTTCCAAACACGGTACTGTTTAATCTGTTCCAAACACGGTACTGTTTAATCTGTTCGAGACACTGTACTGCTCATCTCTTCCGGACAAAGTATTCTTCAGAAAGACTTTCGTTTACACATATGTCGTTATATAATTAAATATTGTTACCATAAATTATATGCGTAGCTAACTAAATTTCGGGGTTCAGTTTCTGAGCCCATAATATACTTTAACCCTTCCCACTACCACTCACTGGTTGGGTATAGGGTCCACTACCACTCACAGGATGGGTATAGGGTCCATTACCACTCACAGGATGGGTATAGGGTCCGCTACCACTCACAGGATGGGTATAGGGTCCACTACCACTCACAGGATGGGTATAGGGTCCACTACCACTCACAGGATGGGTATAGGGTCCACTACCACTCACAGGATGGGTATAGGGTCCACTACCACTCACAGGATGGGTATAGGGTCCACTACCACTCACAGGATGGGTATAGGGTCCACTACCACTCACAGGATGGGTATAGAGTCCACTATCCCTCATAGGTTGGGTATAGGGTGTTTCAAAGATTCATAGCAATTTCTAATGTCCAATTTCAGCTGAATTTACCTGACGACCATCATCTCTAGTGGCCTCGACAAGGACCGGAAGGGCGGCTTGTCAGAGGTCCCTCCATGAAGCTAAATATGAGGGCATTCAGTAAAATGAGGTACGGTATACAGTGGAAGTTTCTTGAAACTTTTGCAAAGGATAATCAAAGGGAAGTTTTGTATTAGTCGTTAAATTACATTTACATTAGCTTCATTTAATAAGAAACAAAATTTAATTGAACCAGAATAATAGTAAGATAACTATATTTTGATATGGAAGCCGCTAAATGGAAAATTCCAACTGTTAAAAATATAATAAGCGTTACTAGAAATGTTAATGTGCAGTGATTCACATCTTCCCAGATAGAGAAATGTCGCGAGAATGTTCAGTTCAAACACCATTATAGATTAGTCACTCTGATACGCAGAAATTTAACTAAAGATACAATTTTGATAATATTTTTTCTCCACTGTATTGCTTGGTTAGTTATGGTATACATTAATAATCTTTAACTCGATTTTTGTTGATTCGAAGTGCAACAGTTTCAAAGAGCCGGTAGTCCACCGAACACCACAGTAATTTAACGTCCTCATAGATGATGTTATAAGATCACTAGGTTGCTGTTGGCGTTGGGGGTGTAAAATGTGCATGTGTTGTTAGTTGGAGAAGAGAGGTTGAGAGCTCACCAAACACTTCATGACGAGCCGCACGATCCGTGCCGTGGCTTGGTCTGGCGTGTCCTGCTTTTATACCCCAGCCACACCCACGGACACCTAGGCCCCGCCCCGAGCCTTGTCCTGTCTTTCTGCCCGCCCAACCCCTCCCACCATGTACCCTGCCCAACCCCTCCCACCATGTACCCTACCCAACCCCTCCCACCATGTCTCCGCCCAACCACTCCCACCATCCCTCCCACCCGTGTAGTACCCTAGGCACCCTGCTTCCCGCTCTCTAATATCATTCAACACTTACCATCGACGGGAAGTTCCCAGATAACGGAATAGCTGAACCACGTTAAAAAATGAAACGCACACAAAACAGAGAGGACTAAATACAAAGTATACAGTTGCGAATATATATATTTAAATGCAAAATTTGTTATCCCTAGTAATCTATTTTTTTTGTCTATTTTGTATCACGTATTATTAGTGAAACAAAACAACTTAGAATACAGTACCCAAGGGAAAGGATGAGTCGTTACTCCACCCAGCTCTCTCACCGACAGTAGTTGATCGATTGATATTATTTTCAGCCAGCCTCTTGAGTTACCACAACGGACAAAAAATGTTGCACTAAAACGCACGAACCTAACCTAACTGGCCTAACTTAGCTGACCGATTCATAGAAAACGTGGTTTGTGAACCGCTGATTCATAGTACGTGATATTTTTGTTCTTTGGGGACTAAAAGCAGCGTGAACATCAAGCAGATATCAAGAGCAGCGTTTGGTACAGAAAACTCGTGCACTCATTCCATGCGTTATACCACAACCCAGTTATCATATAGATGGGCATGTACTTGACAACTGCGAAACTTACACATACCGCGGGGGTCCCTATTATGAACTCATTTATCTCAAAACTTTGGGAGAGATTAAAGCCCTATAGTGGGTCCTCGATGATGTCACTTGTAGAACTAACATGAGACTTGCTAGAATATTCTACATAGCATTTATCCGTTCTGTGATTGACTACATTGCCCTACATCTCGCATTGTATAAGGTATAGAGATAAAATTCGTTGAAAACAAGGAAACTCAAGGTGCTGTGGAACACTAAAACTCAAGGTGCTGTGGAACAATAAAACTCAAGGTGCTGTGGAACAATAAAACTCAAGGTGCTGTGGAACACTAAAACTCAAGGTGCTGTGGAACACTAAAACTTAAGATGCTGTGGAACACTAAAACTCAAGGTGCTGTGGAACACTAAAACTCAAGGTGCTGTGGAACACTAAAACTCAAGGTGCTGTGGAACACTAAAACTCAAGGTGCTGTGGAACAATAAAACTGAAGGTGCTGTGGAACAATAAAACTGAAGGTGCTGTGGAACAATAAAACTGAAGGTGCTGTGGAACAATAAAACTCATGGTGCTGTGGAACACTAAAACTCAAGGTGCTGTGGAACAATATAACTCAGGGTGCTGTGGAACACTAAAACTGAAGGTGCTGTGGAACAATAAAACTCTCCTTCATGAGGCAAATGCAGTGTTTGCAGCCCTAACGGAAACTCACACAAAGGACTACCTTGATGGTGAAAAATGGATCTCAGAGTACAATCTTTTCAGATGTGATAGGAAACACCGGCTTCAGGGTGGGGTCAGCCTCTACATCAAAGACATACTCATCTGTACTGAGCTGCTAAACACCACAAATGATATGGTGGAAGTGCTGATCATCAAAATAGAGATCCTAAATGTAGTTATTGTCCTTGTATATAAGTCACCGGAGGCAAACCCTCAGCAGTTTAAAGACCAACTAATGAAAATAGATCACTGCTTGGAAAACCTCACAAATCCAGCTCCGAACATCATCCTGCTTGGGGACTTCAACCTACGGCACCTGAAATGGAAGCACCTGGCTAATACAGTAATATCAGAAAGAATACCAGGAAGTAGCCGAAATGAACAGGCACACGCAAATGACCTGCTACGGATGTGCGATAGGTTTGCCTTACACCAGCAAATAGTAAAACCAACTAGGAAGGAGAACAGGCTGGACCTCATTTTCACTAATAATGATGAATTGATCGGGAACATAATGATTACAAATACCTGTTACTCAGATCACAACTTAATTGAAGTTCTGACAACCATGGGGAATGGACCTTCAAAACCAGTCCAGATTCCCGGTGGAGGAGATTTCAGCAAAGTCAACTTCAATAATAAACAGATAAACTGGGAGCAAATAAACCAGGACTTCACAGAAATAAACTGGGAAGAACAGCTAGAAAATGCAAACCTGAACCAGTGCCTGGAAAAAATAAGCTCAGTAGCACTAGAAATATGTTCAAACAGCATACCCCTAAGAAAAAAGAGAAAGAGATGCAGATTGGAACGGGAACGTCGTTCCCTATATAGGCGAAGAAAACGAATCACGGAACAACTTGAGAGTCGCACCCTATCTCAAGAACGGCGAAGAAGGTTAGATAGAGAAATAGAAACAATTGAACTCAAGCTACAAGAATCATACAAAACCCAGGAGAGGCAAAGAGAGCAAAAGGCCATCAGTGAAATAGAGAGAAATCCGAAATATTTTTTCTCCTATGCAAAATCAAGATAAAAAACTACATCTAGTATCGGGCCCCTGCGAAAGGGAGATGGAACTTTCACCGATGACAACAAAGAAATGAGCGAGTTACTGAGGAAGCAGTACGACTCTGTTTTCAGCGAGCCATTAAACGCACTAAAGATTGATAACCCAAATGAATTTTTCATGGATATGATACCAACATCAAATCATATATCAGACGTCGCCCTATCCCCACTAGATTTTGAAGAAGCCATAAACAGTATGCCTATGCACTCTGCACCAGACCCGGATTTTTGGAACTCCATATTCATCAAGAACTGTAAAAAACCACTATCGCAGGCCCTTCACATTCTGTGGAGACAAAGCCTAGATACTGGCGTTATCCCTGACATACTAAAAGCAGCAGAGAGAGCACCACTCCATAATGGAGGAAATAAGGCAGAGGCAAAAAATTACAGATCGATAGCACTAACCTCGCACATCATAAAAATTTTTGAGAGTGCTAAGAAGTAAGATCACAAAATACATGGAATCACAGCATCTCCATAACCCCGGACAACATGGTTTCAGAACAGGGCGCTCTTGCCTGTCGCAGTTGCTGGACCTTTAAAGAACACAATAAAGTAGCCGTCACAACTGCAAGAAAAATGACAGGTTCGATAACAAGAACTTTTCACACTAGAGATGCTATACCGATGATGATACTTTTCAAATGCTCTCTAGAGTGGAATACTGCTGCACAATGACAGCCCCTTTCAAAGCTGGAGAAATTGCTGACCTGGAGAGCGTGCAGAGATCCTTTACTGCTAGAATCCACTCAGTAAAACATCTAAATTACTGGGACCGACTAAAGAGCCTAAATCTGTACTCCCTTGAGCGCAGGCGGGAGAGATACATAATAATTTACACGTGGAAAATAATTGAGGGGCTGGTCCCAAACCTGCACACAGAAATAACATCACATGAAACCAGAAGACATGTCAGGATGTGCAGAATACCCCCGTTGAAAAGCAGAGGTGCAACAGGTACTCTGAGAGAGAATTCTATCAACATCAGAGGCCCGAGACTGTTCAACACGCTTCAACTACACATAAGGGGCATAACTGGCCGACCCCTCACAGTGTTCAAGAGAGAACTGGATAAGCACCTCCAAAGGATACCTGATCAACCAGGCTGTGACTCATACGTCAGGCTGCGAGCAGCCGCGTCTAACAGCCTGGTTGATCAGTCCAGCAACCAGGAGGCCTGGTCGACGACCGGGCCGCGGGGACGCTAAGCCCCGGAAGCACCTCAAGGTAACCTCAAGGTAAGGTGCTGTTGAACAATAAAACTCAAGGTGCTGTGGAACAATGAAACTCAAGGTGCTGTGGAACAATAAAACTCAAGATGCTGTGGAACAATAAAACTCAAGGTGCTGTGGAACACTAAAACTCAAGGTGCTGTGGAACACTAAAACTCAAGGTGCTGTGGAACACTAAAACTCAAGGTGCTGTGGAACACTAAAACTCAAGGTGCTGTGGAACACTAAAACTCAAGGTGCTGTGGAACACTAAAACTCAAGGTGCTGTGGAACACTAAAACTCAAAGTGCTGTGGAACAATAAAACTCAAGATGCTGTGGAACAATAAAACTCAAGGTGCTGTGGAACACTAAAACTCAAGGTGCTGTGGAACACTAAAACTCAAGGTGCTGTGCATTTATACTAAGAACAACATAATTTGCATTACAGATGGATGAGTCAACTTTGCCGGGCAATGAATTTTTGCTCCTCGATTATGTGCGCTTTATAAAAGATGAAAGTTTGGGTTACCGTTACCTGTGGCAGGTGGCTACAGGTGACGGATCTCCCAATCCTGAGCACTCCAGTTGCAAACTCTGTGAGCAGGAGCTGCGGCATGATCTCCCACACTACATCACCGAATGCCCAGTTATTAGACCTTATTGGACAAAAATTGACCAACGAGTTATTTGTAAGGCAACTGGAAACTTGTTGTTGAACAGCTCTTAGAAAACGAGTTTCTGCTGACTAACTTACTTGTACAACTGGTGGAGCACCTTCAATGAATGGTCGCTATCAATGTTTTGTTGCTTATTTGAAGAAAAAAATCATAATATCTTCACGATTCCTTGCGTTATTCGTCACCAACATCTGGGTGCAAAAAACTCTTACTGACTGCTCACATAACACATTATACTCATTACTTCAGCGTAATACCATTAAAACCCATGTTCATTCAACCCATCCTCTCAAATGCACTCATTGAAGTTTGACATATAAATCTCTTAAGGTCACAAACTGATGTACTAAAAATCATAGCGGCTCGCGAAATTGACGTGATGTCAGGTTTGCTGGTGCTCGGTTAGGTCAGGTTCGGCCAATTTTGTACATAATTCCAGACTATTCCGGTAGCTTTGTGCTGAGAACGACGAAGATTTTGAACCTTCACTGCTTG